CCCCAAAACCCCAAAACCCCAAAACCCCAAAACCCCTAATTCAATAATTTAAATAGAATAAAAATGATTATGGTTCCTGCCCTCATGAAGTTTAACAAGTCAAAAGAGAGATCTGAGAATCCAGGTAGGTTTCAAGAATCTAATGCTAATAGATCAAAAGTATGAAACTTCAAAATTTAAAGCAAAACTCAACAAAATTGGAAGAGCAGTAAGTACCTCTATTATAGAGAATTAAATTTGAATCATATTGGATGTTTACATGTTTTAGAGGCACCGGAAGGTTCTAACAAATAGCAATATTGACTTCTACAACCCTATTCAGACTAATTCAGGAAGTAAGAAACCTAATTCCAGAAAGAACAACTTTAAGAGAGGAATCCCTGAGAGTCTTGACTTGGTAGAAGTCCGAAGTAATAATGAAACGAATATCTCACAAAATTTTAATAAATATAAACAAGCATTTAAGGCTACACCAGGCGTTCTTGACTTTAGGGAATCTACTCATCTGATGAAATCATACCATTATGACAAGCCGCCTGCGAATTTCACGATCATAAATAAAAGAAATAAAACAAAAGAGAAAAAGACCAGCTTGTATTCTCATTTTATTAATATTATAGAGTTCTGGCAAAGAGCGAAGGATTAGGGATTGGTAGAGCAAAGAAGAAGATAATAAAACATTCCTCAGAATTGGGATCAGTTCGAAGAATTCATTCTCCAAAAAGACCTCAAACAGGAGTCGCTAAGAGTTCCCAAAGGTTTCGAGTATCAACATTGCTTGAGCTATAGCAAATTCAGATTTCCAGGAGGGACACAGAATATCAGAACTTAAAATAAAGAAATAGATATCACCAACAAAGAACTCAGCTCCAGTATTGACATTAAATCAATTTCAAAAAGAACTAGATTTGAAGATAGTGAACCAGTCCAGAGCACTATTCAAAACCAAGACCTCAGCACAGTCTTACAGTAAATGACATCTGCTAATAATTTAGCAATAAAAGGCCAATGACAGGAAGTCTTCGTAATAATTTGGCAATTCGAGCAAGTCTGAACAATTCTTCAGGAAATATAAGAATTACTAAGAGAAGTAAGAGAAGAAATGACTCACTCGGATTTTTGAAAACTGATTTGAATTATTCTTACAACACTAAGCCTCCAAGACATGAGAAAGTATCCAAATTTGGTAACCCAGTATTTTGATATACTAGGGAATACAAGAGACTCTGCTGTTCAAAACTCAGAAAAGAACAAAACTTCTCGATCTCTACTTCAAGCTCAGAACCAGACTAATGTACTAGCAAAGCAGATGATAGAAACCTACCACATGTATGCTTGTTCTTAAAATTTCAGGTTGTCAAGTAAGAAGAAAAAGGATGCAGACCAGTATATATACTCTGACTTAAAGAATGAGTCGCCCAGTAAGTAGCTAATTTTACCTAAAAATTACTAAAATTTGTTCTAAACGCTCATAGCTTCAAAAGCAAGCTACAAGGTTCAGATTAGAGCAGATTATGCACCGAAGAAAGAACCTAAGGGTATCATTAATAATGAACAGTTTAATATGACCAAAGATGACCAGAAGATGCTTGAAAAGATCTTAAAAAGCAGTAATTATGACAATTAACGCTTTAGATAAAAGAAAATAGTTCAGGAAGAGGAAAAAGACCCAAATTTAAACAGAATAATGAAGTTGAATTTCTAGAGTATGAAAATCAGAAATTTATGAAGAAGAGAAGAAATAGAGGAATCAAAAATAGCCGATCTAAGTCCAATCTACCCAATGATATGGATATGAAATACAGAGATGCTTTGAAAAGATTTAAGAGAAAGCATAGATTGAAGTAACATCAATATTAATTTTAAGATTAGGGGTTTTGGGGTTTTGGGGTTTTGGGGTTTTGGGG